CCAGAGAAAGGCATATTTTTTGCTTGGCAAAATTGCTGTGTTTTGTCCCCATTCTTTGGCCGTTTTATAGACTATTTGGTTCCTTGCTGTGCTCTTGCTTGTGCCATTTCCTAGTGTGTTTTTGTACAGTCCACCTCACTTATGGTGTCTGTGCCCTCCTCCATCTCTGCCCTCTTGCTAGGCCCATAAGCAATTCTGTTACCTCTTTTCCTTTGTTTCCTTTATCTGAGACTTCCGGTTCCTCACTTGATCAGAGCCAGATTTTTATTCTGCCATCTTCCTTAATGCCTGCTGCTGTTTCTGAGAAAAGCAGCTTGGGAAGCACATAAAGATGAGGGAATGCTCAGTGTTGAGTAATTAAAAAGAGTAGATGAAGCAAGACAAATGTAGCTAAGGCCTTGAGTATATATTTATGTAGGGCTAATATTGGTAGTTTTGTGCTGCTTGCATAGCTCTGTGTATGGCATTATGTGTTTAAAAACAAGTTAATTTGCGGAAATACTGCTCAGATTTTTATGCTTAGGGCTGTTTTAGTTCCTAGGAATACTGACTCAACATGGCATTTGTGAAAATGCTTAGTGGTGTTTGAGCCCCAGTGACACTTCCCTTTGCTAGGATACAAATGACTGAAAATGTGGGTTTTAAAGGTGGGTTTTTCATTTGCATCTGGTGTCATCCCTGTGCCACTTGCTGTATCATGGAAAGAGTTTCTGCTGCCAGTGATGACAGAATCTGGGCAAACCTAACCATCTTAGCTGAGTAGTTTTTGGGAAGATTCTTTGTAGGGAGCTAGTCTGTGCTGTGGGAATGAAGTGCTTTATTTGAAGTTTCTATTATCAGCTCTTACCTATTTTTTCCTTTTTCAGCTGGAAGTGGTCACCTGTTAATCCACCTCTTTGATTTAAAGATGTTTTTAACCAGCTTTATGTGATCATCTACATGACAAATGAGACACTTCACTAAGAGTCACTAAACCTTTAATCTTTCAGGGCACCTATGTTTATGCTTCTTTCGCATTCCTTGCTGACAAAACACTGCTGGTGGTCATCACTCCAAAGCCTTCCTGTTCAGCTGGAGGCAACACTGAGTGCAGTAACTGTGCTATGTTCCAGGTGTCCCAACATGCAGCCAAGTGCATTCCTGTCCAGAGGTCACGGAACAAATCCGCCGTGAAATCGCTGCGTCTCTTCACCAGCGAAAGGGAGACTTTGCCTGCTACTTCCTGACTGACCTTGTAACCTTCACATTACCTGCAGGTAGTTACAAACCTCCTCTTGCCATGGGAGAATTTATTCCTTGCTCACCTAGTTGAGTTGCTTGTTCTTGGTGCATATTTTGACTTTCTGGTGATGTGTGTGTTGGTTTTATTTATTAAGTTTTAATAGCTTAGGTCAGATTTAGTAGCTGAGTTTGCTTATTCAGTCTTTGAATACTTCAGTCCATACATTGCTCCTGTGAAGTGAGCATCTGTTGTCCTATTTAGCCATGAGGACGTGGAAGCAAAGTGGTTTCTAAGGAAAGGCTGTATTTAAAGTGAAGATTGGAGTCCAGGCATTTCTGGTCCCTAATATGACTTCTCACACAGCTGTTTTAGCTTTCAGACCTTTCTGTTGAGGCCCAGAACTATTCTTTGTATTTATACCTCCTTCATACTTTAGTGTTCTCTAGAAACACATCTTAAAGCACTGTGCAGCTTTTTGACATGTGTAATAGCCATTAAATAATTAAGGCATAATGTTCAAAAGCTTTTGTACATCAGGACTGTCAGTGTATTCCCACTTTTCATCACATTTTGTCAGCTGAGCATCTTTTGTAGTTGGGCTCAAGGTGGCATTTCCCAAGGCAGAGGTGTAAATCACACACTCCTGTTCAGATGTTGCCTGTGCAATGTGGTTTAGGAACCAGTTTCCACTTGACCTTTCAGATAAACAGACCCAGTGCATGGATGTCAGAGAGCAAAGCTTTAAAATTGATTGCTGGACACTGTGAGGCAGTTTTGGTTTTAAAAGTCCCAATCAATCATACAAAAAAAGATCATCCAACAACACTCTGCCTGCACCAAGCAATAATGTGCTTCACCAGCAACTCATGTGCCTAAATGTGGACTCCAGAAGCCTTGGGGCATTGGACATCTGAGCAGGACTGGCAGATACCCCACTGCAGTTAAGAGATCTTCATGCCCTTGAAATACCACCTAGATCCCAGTCCTTATCCCCTAGACTGCCTGAAGGGATGCTGGATATTCCTGTTCAACTGTTCTCTTTACTTCCTTGACTTTCACGTGTTGAAGTGTTTAAAACTGTGCTGAATCCAGCAAAGTTCCTCTAGCTGCTGCTCTGCCTGGCAACCCCTTCCTGCTTATCCCCTGCTGGAATGCAGGCCATGTATGCAGCACATGTTTGAGTTAGAATGTGTGACAGTGATTTAAGTGTTACAGGAGTCACAAAAGAGTTTTACCCATTACACAGTTTTCTGCCTTTCCCCCCCCCCTTTCTCTTTTTTTAAGGTCTGAACGAATTGCAGCATTTCAGTGTTAGGGATGATATGGCTAAAGCTGTTGTCTAAGTTCTCCTGAGCAGCAGCTGCAAGTATCTCTTTTACAGTAACATTAAGTGACTTCTGTACTTGCTTTCTGTTTTTCCAGATATTGAAGACTTACCACCCACAGTGCAGGAAAAGCTGTTTGATGAAGTACTTGACAGAGATGTTCAGAAAGGTAAATGCCCCAAGAGCACCTGGAATTTCTCTTTGTTTTTCATTAGAGAGTGTTTCTATTACGAAAAATAAACTACACGTCTGTGTGTATGTGGCTTTGTCCAAGAATGTCTGTTAAATATAGATTGGATGCTTTCCAGTTCAATTCACCCTGGAATTTGTAGAATCACAGAATGGTTTGGGTTGGAAAGGACCTTAGAGATATCTCATTCCACCCCCTGCCATGGGCAGGGACACCTCCCACCAGCCCAGGTTGCTCCAAGCCCCATCCAGCCTGGCCTGGACCACTCCCAGGGATGGAGTAGCCACAGCTGCTCTGGGCAACCTGTGCCAGTGCCTCAGACCTCACAGGGAGTAACTCCTTCCCAATATCCAATTTAATTCTACTCTCTGTATGTGGAGTCATTCCCTTCTGTCACTCCATACCCTTGTAAAATTGTTTTAGTTCTAACAGTTACAGACTATTTATGAGGCAAAGAGAGGATGGAGGCTGTAAAAATGATGTGTTGTGTATCTTTGTAGAGCTTTAAAAATCTTTAAAACCCATTGTGAAGGCAGAAGCCCTTTAAAGAAAACTGAACCAATCCTCCCATTCCAGTAACAGTCCTCAAATGAATGATGTGATGCTTTATTTAAAGCTATAGTTTGGTTCTGGTTTGTTTCCTTGATGGTATTTCACCCAAGACATACTTTTAGCCATTGTAGTTCACCTGTTGTTTTGCAGTATGAAGGAAAGCTGAGTTTTATGAGTAAATTGTTGAGATTACTGTGCTGTTTACATTCCCTGAGCCTTCAAATAGAAGTGTTAAGAGATGCCTGTCATATTGCAGAGCTGGAAGAGGAATCTCCCATCATTAACTGGTCCCTGGAGCTGGGCACACGCCTGGACAGCAGGTTATATGCACTTTGGAACCGAACTGCAGGGGATTGCCTGCTTGACTCAGTGCTACAGGCTACATGGGGCATTTATGACAAGGACTCAGTGCTGAGGAAAGCTCTGCACGACAGTTTACACGACTGCTCACATTGGTGAGTTCTTCTGTCAGCTTTAAAGATAACTTCCCATGTAGTAATACTAAAAAAGAACCACAGCCACCACTCCCCAATTCCCTGTGGGTTGTGGGCCTCAAAGATGTTGAGTCACTGTGATTCCAGAAGTAATCTAGATCTCATTTTAAGTACAAGCACTGGAAACTTGGACATGGTGAACTGAGTGATGGTATGTGATATCCAGCAAATGGCATTTAAACCAGTAAAATATGTTATACTTGCTGACCACAGTTATTAAGGCTGGAATTTCTGTGTGCTTGCAGTGTAAATCATGCACATGCCATGCCTTGCTGCTTGGGGGAAGCTTCCCAGAAGATTGTTAGGAGAGAAGATAGCCTTTTATTCCTTATAAACTTTGCAGTATTTTCATTCCATCTGCTTAGTTACAGCCTTATGTGGGATTGCTCTTTTCGTCCCTGCTCTGGCTGCTGAAGTAATGGCAGTAAAGCACAGAGTGACATTTAACTAGTGCTGTCAGTTGGCCATAAACTTAATTTATCAACCTGTAAAACAACTCTTAGTTGTTTTTCAGCAACTTCTTTAGTTGGTTTGTTTCTGCTAGAGGGAAAACCCTTAAAGTTGCACCTCCAGTGGTGCCTAACAGCTCTTGAGTGTGTCATGGGACTAAGGGAAGAGCTGATAGACTGATAATCCAAGACACAAGTGATCATTTCTTTTATGTTCTTGTACTCAAGGACAAGACAAACACTATGAGCACATCCTAGAGAAAGAGTCTGTCCCTTCCTCCATGTGCTCTACAGGAAGTCAACAAGAAAGGTTAATTTTAGGGGTGCCTGCAAGTAGCTTTTGTGATTCCTGCCCCCAGCTGCCTGCTGTGTGGAGATAACTCCCTGAATGAGCTTCCAGAGCTGGGTTCAGTGAAGTGGTTCTTCAGTAGCAGTTCTCCCAAGAACCTGTCTCTGGAAGATCTGTCACTGGAGTTGTTTACAATGGAGTGTGCATCTGGGCCATGCAGGAATGTCCCTGGCACCACAGGCAGTTCCCCTGAGGCCAGAACAGAAATGATGATAGATCAGGTTTTGTTCTTTATGGTAACAAACCAAACATGGTAACCAAAACCATGCTGCAAACTCCTGAGCTTTGAACCAAACCTCTCAATGTTTGTGTTAACTGTGGTTGACTTACTGCTGTGTCTAACGTAACATCCATTATTTAGAGGCTATTAAGTCTTGTTAAGCTTTTCAGTTTATGTTCTGGACAGAATTTGCATTTTACTCTGAATTTACTTAATCTTTATCCTTATTAGAAGCATAATTTTAACTGAGTCATGTGTTCCTTCATAGGAACAAGTCTTTTAGCCAAATAGTGTTGTAGATTGATAATCCTGTACATACTATACTTGTATAGGTTCCATGTGGGAAGATACATTTAATTTTGTGGCAGATAGGAATTGATGTTATTACTGGCTTTAGTGAGAGTTGCTGAAAGAATAGGCTCCTAAATGCAATCCCTGCTGAAACTTTTAGCTAGTGGAGTTATTCTTCAAAGCCTTCACAAAGACACTTGAAAATGGGCATTTTTATAGGCAGAACATTCATGTAACTCATTTGGCCACGTTTTGTTCTGTTTCTTTAGATGCTGAACAAAGAAGAGTCTCTTTATTAGAGACAGTTGAGTGTGTGGTACTCAGGAAAAGCTCAGTGGTGAAGTTCCCAGAGGCTCTGGCCTGTGGAGCCTTTCCCACTCACCTTTAAATAGCTACACTTTTAGTTTACCCAGAGTGTGTTCTGATGTATTCCCTTTTTGTACTCCACCATTAGCTTTTGTTGGAGAATGGGCACATGCCCTGAGTTGGCTTTCAGAATCTTTTGTATGGATCCATTCAGTTCTCTTCTGTTAAACTGAAAAGTTAGCCTTAAATGAGATCAACTCTTGAGCCTTGACCGCTGTCTGCAAGGCCTGTTCACCTCCCATGAGCATCCACAGATAACTCTGTGGCTGAGTAACTCAGGGGAAGAAAACTTCCTTGGGAAAACACTTTTGTGGTCAAGGTTTGGATGGGTGGTTTGTTTCCCCTCCCTTTCTTTTTGTCTTGATGTTTTTCTGTTTTCTCTTTTTCCCGTTCCTTTCAGAATCTGTTTAAATTATTATTAATGCAATCAATGCATTTAGCATAAGGTGTCCAGTTAGAGATTCCTGGGAAAAAAATAGGCAAAATATCTTAGCAGCTGCAAAATGGAAGCAGTTGGTGCCCTTGGATAGAAACTGGAATGTAGATCCAGAAGATTCCGTGTAGATGTGTTGCTGTGAGTTAGCACAGACCTATCCAAACATCATCCTAACAGGAATTTTAAGCTGTGCAAAGTCTTGGGCTGTACCTGGGAAAGCCAGGCCTGGCTGGTGACTGCTGTTCCACACACCAGGGTTTGGGGATGATTACAGCTTCACGAGAGCATAGGAAAGGTTTTATCCACACACACACACACTGTCTGCTAATTTTCTCAGTTTTTAATTAAATGAGTTCATTTCAATGACTTTTTTTAATAAGCTGAACTTCAGAATGGTTTCTTTGTCTTCACAGTAAAGCCATTGTTTAAAAGTTGGCTTAGCTCTCCCTAGATCTGTGTCCCTGATAAGGAGTTGTGGCTTTTCCATAGGGCTGTGACTGGACTGAGGTTAAAATTTGAGAGAGCCAACACCTGCTTTTTGATGTGTAGGCAATTTTGATTGGTAAATGGTTAAGAAAGATAAAACATTAGGACTAAACTACCACACAAAAATGCTAATTTAGGCAGGAAAATAGAAATCCTGTGGCTTAAAGCTTTCAGTGTGAATCAGATTAATCTATATTTGACTTCATAACTCCATAGGTTGTGAAATTTCCATACTCTTTGCTCCAAAACCGGGATAAAACAGGTTCTGCCTCTTAACCAGGGCCTGTTTGAAGTTGGTGCACAAGTCCTTAGAAGTTAATTGGCTCATGATGTGGGTAAAAATAGAGAATACCTGTGTTGTTGTTGTTGTGAGAAGAATGAACTACTCCTGTGAAATGGAAAATCTTAGTTATGTCCTCTGAACATCAACACTTAAATAAGCCTAAGTGAGACTTAATAAAAAGCTATGCCAAGAAGTCTCCCCTAGGCAGGAGCCTGGCAGGGGCTTGGAGCACGTTTGCTGTAGGCACTGCCATGCCTAGTGATTCCTTAAATGAGGTTTACCAGACAGAGTCTCCTGAAGATTAAACCTGAAATCCAGTATTTATTCTCTCCTTCTTCTGTGTTCTTGGGCTTGGGACAAAGGGTGACAAGGGGTAAATATTGCTGACAGGATTATGGTGGTTAATGCTTTTGTCTTTGCCCCTCTTTCTCTCTACCTAACACTGTAGGTTCTACACACGCTGGAAAGAGTATTCCCAAAGCTTTGGTTTACATTTCTCCCTGAGAGAGGAGCAGTGGCAGGAGGATTGGGCATTCATACTCTCTCTTGCAAGCCAGGTGAGAAAACTTGGTTGTGTAACATGTTTGAAAGGGTGTTTTAATGTCTGAAAAGAAATTCCATGGGGCTTGAAGTGTTTATCAGGAATAAGAACAGTCATGTATGAAGGATAACTTTCCTCTTAAGTTGCTGATCTTAAAGTCCCACTGAATAAACTCTTCTGCCAATATGGAAAGATTAATTTAAAGCTCTATTTTTTGAGCTTACTATTAAGTACAACAAAGTCTTGTGGTGTCAGAGTGAAATCTGTAGGATAAACCAACACCCAGTTGTGTGCTCAGTGTCCTCCTGCAGCACTTTGACCTCCCAAAGCACCTATAAACGTGCCAGCTTACAGTGCTGAAGCTTCATCAAGCTGATGCTCTGTAACTCCCCTCCAGAGTGAGGTTTGTTCCTATAAGCTTCCAACTATCGGAGTATTTTTACCTCCTCTTTTAAAGGATAAACATGATTTTGGAGCTGTTTTCTTGTGATTTGTTTTGGATGTGCCTTTTCCTGTCATCAAAAGGTGTTGCCTTAACCTGCCCTCAGATGAGAGAATGAGTCCTAGACTAAACATTCTGTAGAGTTTCACCTCTAACTGGGGAATGAAACTTGTTAGATTGAATCTGGGCAATAGGACAGAGCATTATTACTGACAGATTGAGTTGTGCAAGCTGAAATGTCGTTGCGTAGTTCCAACTGATATATAATAGTCCTCCAGTCTCTTATTTTTCCTGTCTAAGCTCTATCACTCTTCAAAGCCTTTTGTATCTCAGTTTGGAGACTGTTTCCCAGATTTCCAAGCAGAGAATGGTAAATTGTATTTCAAGTGTTGTCTCTCTTTGTGTTTGGTTCAGCCTGGAGCGAGTTTGGAGCAGACACACATTTTTGTACTTGCACATATTCTTAGAAGACCAATTATAGTTTATGGAGTAAAATATTACAAGAGTTTTCGAGGAGAAACATTAGGATACACTCGATTTCAAGGTAAGCCTTTAGCTTCTCACAGTCAGCTTTAACAGGGTTTGGCTATAAATCATGAACTTAAAGGGAGAGTGACCTTAAGTTACTGTCTGGAAGGGGATGGAATCATGTTGTAGGTAAATCTTGATTTGCTGTTAACAAAACAGTCCCCTCAAAACTTGCAGTTTTTCATTTTATAGTGGAAATGCTGCCTGTAGCCACAGTAAAAATGTGTTTTGAGCTCTATAAACATACCTAAAATTGATGTCAAATACTGTGATGGGGAAAGCTTCCCAGGAGGTGTGTGGTTTGTACTGCTGCAAGGCACAAGGAGGTTAACAAATGGGATGTGAAATTTTCTTTGCGTGTGGTGCTGGTGGGTGTAAATGTTCAGCTTAGGACCACAGAATTTAGCATCTCCTGGGGGAAAGGTGTTGGCATCAGCCAGTTTGTCACTGGAGAGGCAGCAGAGGGGCTGTGCCTGGGCACTGCAGCTCTTCAGCCTGGAGAGGACAAGACTGCATGGAGACCTCAGAGCAGCTTTTCAGTCTCTGAAGTGCCTACAAGGAGCTGGAGAGGGACTCCGTGTTAGGAACTGCAGAGACAGGACAAGGGGTAATGGGTTCAAATGGAAGGAGGGAAAGTCTAGGTTGGATGTGAGTAAAAAATTTTTTACTCTAAGGGTGGTGAGATATTGGAAGAGGTTGCCCAGGGACATGGTGGCTGCCCCAACTCTGGTGGTGCTCAAGGCCAGGCTGGATGAGCCTTGAGCAACCTGCTCCGGTGGGAGGTGTCCCTGCCCAGGGCAGGGGTTGGGACTGGATGATCTGTAAGCTCCATTCCAGCCCTTAAGTTCTATGATTCTGTGTGCTTGATGATGACCCACTGTTTATTTATAACTTAGTAGAGGACTTTTCCCAAAACATCTCTTTTTGTGATTTAAGGAAAAAGGCTAACTTTGGAAGGAGGCAAACCCAAAATACACAGAAAGCCCCAACCTGTGGAGTTGATGTTAGCCTGTAACTACTTAGTCTTCAGAAAATGTCAGCAGCTGTTTGGCTTGTAGGTTTGGTGCAGTAACAAAACTTTATGTAGGGAAGTTAAATATTTTTGGAGGAGTATGAAAGCTTGGTGTTCTTTGTAGTGACATGTTATCTTTCATTCGAGCTGATCCAGGCTAGGCTGGGGCAGAACAGTTACTCATGTCACACAGATCTGACATCTGACACGTCAGGTTTGTGTTGCTTTTAGCTCCAGGGCTTGGTGGTTTGCAAATTGGTTTTATTGCCTAGATTGGGCATTGAGGCAGACAAGTGATACACAGCCTAAATACGCTGAAATTGTTTTCTTGCTCTGAACAAGGAGGTCACCAGGTGTCTGGGACAGCCTTTTACCAGACATGAGTTTCCAGGAATTCACTCAGCCACATATTTATGGCTTGTGATTTGCTTGCCACAAGCCTCATCTACCCATACATGGAAACATGCAGCACTGTGAACAGGTGAACTTGGGAGTCCTGTGTCATATTACCTGGAATTACTTCTATCCCTGTCCAACCACATTTTTGAGGTTAATGTGTGCTAATTAAACACTCACAGCACAGCTGAGCCCAAACAGCCGTCGGACTCGGAGTGCTGTGAGCTGCCAAAGGAGCTCCTGGAAATGGTGCAGGACTGTTCTGGGCTTGTGTGGGAGTCCTGGGGGAGTTCTTGGTGTCCCTGGCGTGGTGGGTAGCACTCTCCCTCTAACATCACATCCACCAAAAGAATGAGGAAAGAGACTGTGGTGTAGAAGTGATGGATACTCCATCCCTAGGAGTGTTCCAGGCCAGGTTGGATGGGGTTTGGAGCAACCTGGGCTGGTGGGAGGTGTCCCTGCCCATGGCAGGGGGTGGAACTAGATGATCTTTAAGGTCCGTTCCAACCCAAACCATTTTGTGCTTGTGCGTTACAATAGAAATGGGGAATTTTTAGCACTTTCTTAACATCATGGTTCAGTTCATAGTACCTTGGACGGTACTGTAACCTCCCCATATACCCCCAAAACACTCTCCCCCATCAGCATTTTTTCCTCCAGGGATTCTTTGTTCCAGCTTGGCGTCCTTTCTGTAGTTGCTGTCCCATAGCTGACAGCCTCCCTGTTTCCAGATCACAATTGACTGTTAAGGCTTCTTTAAATATTAAGGCTTTGACAGTGAAAGATCCATTTACCCAGCTCCTGGTCTAGCTGCATGTGTTTAGCCTTTAAAATTGACCAGGAAAAGAGATGACTGACTGAAAGCACCATCAGATCAGGTTGGAGAAACTAAATCCTATGTGGGTGGCTTCCAGGGTAGGTGTTAGCCTGTCCTCTGTATTTTCCATGACTTGTGTTCTTGTCAGCCCTTGTTACACGACCTTCTCACTGTGTATCAGAGTGACTTTTATAACTCTCCAGAGCACTAGATATTCTCCCTGATGGTGCTTTTAATTCCCTTCTTGTGGAGCTCCATGCATCGTGTTGAGGAGGAGTGGGAAGTGTAACACAACCTTCTGCCTGGGGAAGTGATTAGTGTGGCATTTTCACCAAGATAAAACAACAGGAAAGAAACCCCCAAACTTTGGAGAAGTTGCTGAATTTCCATGTGGAGATTTGTTGTGGCAAACAGATGAGTTTCAGTCCTGAAAGGTCATGTAGCTATGATGGAGAACTAATTCCCAGGGACTTTGTTACACTGGACTCTTGAGAGTGGTGTTTTCAATGCAACCTGGAATTTTGATGAGATCATTTGGGCCTTTCCCTTAATGTAAAGACTTAAAAGTTCCTGGTGTGAACACTTACCCCTTGTTCTGCACCTTTTGTGTTTAGAGCTGCATTAGAGTGAGGCCTCACTGAAATGGGGACAGGAGGAACAAGGTATTGAAGGGATTAATCCTTAAACTGAGGTGTGGTAAAATTTCTGGTGACTCTTACAGAAATGGGAAGACTTTTAGGTAGTTCTTGATTGCTGGTTCGAGAAGGGGGTGAAGAGACAATTATTTACTGTTGGCTCCCCCAGCTCTGAAGCTGAGTGCAGCTCCAAGCCTGTGATTGCCACTGTGAGCTGTCCATGGATGCTGAGCTGCAGTGCCTGCCTTGCCGCAGTGCCTGTCCCTGCTGGCAGCAGCTGTACCCAGAGGGGGTTGCTATGCTACATGTGCACTCGAGTTTGTGTGGGGCTATTTTTAACCTGTCACAAGGTGAGCAGTGCTTTTGCTTAAGTTGTCTTGCAGCAGTACACACACACACACCCCCCAAGAATTATTTCTGTTCCTGGAAGAAAGAAGTTGTGGTGTTATTTTGAGCCCTCGACCGAAATTACAGTGTTGATGGCTAAAAATGGTGGGGAGAAGATTGCAGTCCCTCTCAGGATCTGTGACATCAGGAGTTTGTTGTAGCTGAGCAGAATAGTATCGGCTTTCTGGGGCTGTTTTTTTTTTTTAAATTGAGACTAGATGTGCATAATTGATGTGGGTTAATTTAACATGTGAGCAGCCCCACTCGCTGGGATGGGTCACCTCACTTCTGAGTTACATCTAGCACACTAATAAGTTTTGTGAGCAGATGGTGGAATTTTTGCTCTGGTAAAAATAGACCTCTGACTGTAGCTTTATTTCTGTGGTGCAGTCTGATTTTTTTTTTTCCTTTTCTTCATAGTTTTTTATATTTGAAGAAGAGTTACCAAACACCAAAGCTCTTCTAACCTTGTTTTTCATTCATCACTGCACTGTGGATTTTGGGGGAGTTGTAGTGTGGTGTTGGTTGTGATCGTAGTGGTTTTTAGGTCTAAACTTGTGCAGCTGAAAGATCCTTGAGTTGCATTAATTAATAGTAATTAGTTGAGCTGAAAAGTGTGACCTGTGCCAGTGTAGACCAAACCAAGGATGTGTTAAATGCCTCTGTTACTGTGCTTAGCCAAACCCAAAAGGTTTGTACCAAAACCCTTCCTTGCTGAACACTAGTTCTGAGTCCTCCCCTCTGTTTCCCTTCCCCACAGGTGTGTATTTGCCTTTGTTATGGGAACAGAGTTTTTGTTGGAAAAGTCCTATAGCTCTGGGCTACACAAGGGGCCATTTCTCCGCCCTGGTTGCCATGGAGAACGATGGCTATGGCAATCGAGGAGCTGGTGCTAACCTCAACACCGATGATGATGTTACTGTTACTTTTCTACCCCTGGTGGACAGCGAGAGGAAACTATTGCACATTCACTTCCTTTCTGCTCAAGAGGTAAGAAATACCTGTGTGTGTGTGTCTGGTAGTCTGTCACAGAATCATCAAGGTTGGAAGAGACCTCTAAGATCATAGAGTCCAACCATTAACCGGTTACTGCTGGAACCCCTAAACCAGATCCTCCAGTGTCAAATCCAGACACCTCTTCAACGCCTCCAGGGATGGTGACTCCACCACCTCCCTGGGCAATATTCCAGTGCCTGAACACTCTGACAGGGAAAACATTTTTCCTAACATCTAATCTGGCTCTCCCATCTCAGTTTATGACCATCCAATCCAGCTCCTGGCCCTGCTTGGGACAACCCCCAAAGTCACACCATGTCCTTGAAAGTGTTGAATATAAGTACCTAGAAAAGCAGCCAGAAATAACGATTCTGTCACTAATGCAAGACTGAAATGCCTTTTGAGGGTTTTTTTCCCCCAAAAGGATGCAGCACAAATATTGGCCCATAGTCATAGCATGCTCTGCCTTTTATTCTAATGGAAGTCAACTTGTTTTGTCCTTAATAACTGTGATAAAGACAGGGAAGCACTTCAGTAAAGCGTGTACATGGGAGAAGGGAGGGCTGGAACACCTGATGTGTGGGGAAAAAATAGGCTTTAAGTCTAGAGAGAGATTTCTTCAGTTATCCATACTACTTGTTGTGTTGCAAGCAGAAATGTTTCATGACTGCAACTCTTTGATTCCTAAAAACATCTTTGTCAAGCCAGAAGGATTTTCGAGGACTTATCCTCGTTTATGTGTGGTCCCTACTTTAAATAACAAGTTGTTCCAAATAATTGAAATACAGGAAGGCTGTATTGGAATTACACATGAAAAACTGACACTGGGAGAACAGCTGGGGAATATTTGTGGAGCCTGTTTGATTAGGTTGCCCATAGAATTTAAGGGTTGGAATAGACATTAGAGCTCTTCCAGCCCTAACCCCTGCCCTGTGCAGGGACACCTTCCACCAGAGCAGGTTGCTCAAGGCTCTGTCCAACCTGGCTGTGAACACTGCCAGGGTTGGGGCAGCCACAGCCTCCCTGGGCAACCTGGGACAGTGTCTCACCACCCTCACAGGGAAAACTTCTGCCTAATATCTAACCTAAATTTCCCCTCTTTCAATTTCTCCCCATTGCTCCTTGTCCTGTCCCTGCAGTTCCTAACACAGAGTCCCTCTGCAGCTTCCCTGGAGCCCCTTCAGCTCCTGCAGGTTGCTCTGAGGTCTCCACACAACCTTCTCTTCTCCAAGAAGAAGAGAGGTCTGGAGGCCCAGAGAGGTTATAATTCTCCCTCGCTCCTGAATGGCCCTGCCTGAGCAGGGAGGTTGGCCCAGATTTACCCACTGTGGTCTCTTCCAACTGACCCATCCTGTGGTTATCAGGTTTGGCTCTGGGCAGCTCCGTGGGCTGTGCCCGGAGCAGGACCCGCATCCTTCGGGATGTCCCAGGTGTGCAGCCTCGTGCTCAACCCGTTTGCTCTGCCCCAAAGATAGGCAACGAGGAGCAGCAGGAGAAGCTGCTGCGGGAGTGGCTGGACTGCTGTGTGACGGAGGGAGGGGTCCTGGTGGCCATGCAGAAGAGCTCTCGCCGGCGCAACCACCCACTGGTGACTCAGATGGTGGAGAAGTGGCTCGACCGCTACCGCCAGATCCGTCCCTGCACGTCCCTGTCGGACGGGGAGGAGGACGAGGACGACGACGACGAGTGAGGGTTGGGTGCCAGTCCCAGCACCGTGACGCGGAGCCGGCGTCGCGCGGCAGCGTCGGCCGTGGAATGAGCCGGGGACGCGCTGCTCCAACGGCGTGGGCAGAGGTTGGGAGCTCATCTGCCTGGAGAGAGCGGCGTGGGCCGGACTGCAGTTTGTATAGAACCACGGAATCAAGAAACAAACAGCTAATTTTATTATCCAGACAGGAAAACAAGCCCCGTTTTTCTCTCCGACTGTAAATCTGTCTATAAATGTACCGCATGTGGTTGTGTAAGAGGTTGTGTAATAGGAAATGTATACCAGCATCCTCATTATTGCAGAGAAACCTTCCGGCCGAGGGCACTTCCGAAAGCACATCCCAGATGGATATCTCCTCCCTCTGAGGTTCTTTTACAGTAGGACTTGGTCTTTTCCATCACCTTTTAGATACTCTGACACTTCCCTGACAGTGAATTCCTGTGCAGTCTCACTAGTGCCCAGGTCAGATCATCAGAGGTTTGATTTTTTTTTTTTTTTTTGTTTGCACAAAGTACCCACAGCAAGTCCTAAGCAAAAATGCATTCATTATTTTACTAATCTTTTAGTTATTGCTGTGCCCATGTAATAAAGTCTAAACTCTACAGAACAAACTGGAAGAGGAACTAAATTTTTCATTGAATGAAATGATTTGTTAACAGAAAAAGCTTTTTTTTGGGGGGGTGTTATTTTTTGGCATTTTTTTTCCTTCTGATAGTTAATAGATTCCTTTCAGTATACCTAAGGATATTTATTCAGAGAAGTGACTTAAAAATAGGGATTTTATTCCAGTGAATCTGAGAACTCAATTGAGACTTTCACATTGCCCCAACTCTTGCTGTGATACAAATTTTATACCATTTATTCTTTGATCACTCAAATGTTGCTGCAAATGAAAAAAAACTCCACCTTTTAAAGGATTTTCTCCTCAGTCACTAAATCTAATGAGAATCCTCTTGGCAGTTCTAACTCAAAAGAAGAACCTATGCTCAAGTTGTTTCAAAGCACTGTCCTCTACTTCTCAGTATGTAAACCTGGGAATTTCTTGCATGTTGATTGATGTGGCCATACTTAAACTTATGTAAGTTCCTAAGATTGTTCAGAGTATATTCTCCAGTAGAAATTTTATTATATTTGATAACTTTAGCCATGTAACCTGTAATGGATAAAGTTGATCTAAAAAAAATCTCACTGAAACACTAAAGGTTAATGCCAGTTTTTACATTTACAGTGCAATTCAGGTTGGCTTGGAAAGCACTTTTGGTGGTGTGGCGGTTGAGTAAGGAATTTTTTGCAGTAGATGAAATGTTTTAATTAGAATTTGGAAAGAAGCCCCATAGCACCTATTTTTTATCTAGTTCAGCGCTATGGAAACCCTGAGGAACTTGCTGCTTTTTTCTTCCAAATGCTGCTTAGATGGTGTTGAAATGTGCACAGCTCCTACAGAAATGTGGTGACGACACCAGACGTATAGAAATAATCAAGTACTGTATTAACTTAGCAACTTGCCCGTCCCAGATTCCATTGAGGTTTGTTGTCTTCGCCTGTTTTTGGCCATTAGCTCTCCTGTGGTTGGTGCATGCCCAGGTTTCCAGGTGAGGGATGCATGCTCCTCTGCCGTGGCCGTGTGAGGGACCTGGCAAACCGCAGACCCTGCAGAGGTTCTTCAAGTGTGTGGTCCTGGTTCAAGTTTGCTTTCTAAATTGGGACTTTTTGGGTATTTTTTTTTTTCTTACCTTGCAGTGAAATCCTTTTATACCTTGTCTAGCTGAGGATGTAAAGCTTTTCTGTCAGGGGAGTGGGGTAAGCTAGGCTGAGGATTTCTGTGCCCTGAGCTGGTTGTCCAGCTCAGGCCTGAGCTCTCAGTCAGTGACCAGGTCCTGTAAACTCAAGAGCCCAGGACCAGCTCCCTGTGCAGGACAGACAGAAGGATAAACTCCTGATTCTGTAGGCTACTCAGTGCAGAGTTTCCACCTCCTGCCCCCAGTGCTGTTCCACTCGGGGAAGCAAAGCTTCCTTGTCACAGGGTGAGAACACCCAAGGTGGACGTGTACCTGGAGCCAGAGGAGCACTCCTTTCCTCCTCTCCTGTCCCTGCATCATGGCCTGACCCTCCCTGTCCCCCACCACGTCCCCACAGGCACTGAAGTCCCTGTGCAGTGAGTTCAGCTGTCTCCCAAACGCATGCACCGATATTTACCCACTTCTGGCCCGAGGACAGTCCTGGGACTTCAGAGCTCTTGGCTATCTTGATCACTATTGTTATGTTCTGATGTGCTGTACAATGGTAATGTTCAGGTTAATGCACTCCACAGGTCATTTTGGGGACTGGTGGAGTGGCTTGTTCTTTTGGGTTTTTGTTTTGGTTTTTCCAGAATCAAAGTAATCCAAACCTCATGTACCTGTAGATTAAAGAGCTGCAACCCCTGCTTTGTGCTCGCCCCGCAGTCCTGTACGCCGGTGGGTTCTCCCCTCCAGCCACACCTGAGAGCTCTCACACACACACACACACACGAAGCTGCAGACACTCCTTGCAGCTCGTCAGCAAGCTCTGCTCTTTCAGCCAAGTACATCTCTCTCTCTACAATTAGGTTTCTCTCCATGTTATGTTCCTCACACTCTTGCTCGCAGCAGCACTCGCTTTCCTAGCACAGGACTTGGCTTCTCATCGCTACCTCCTTTACAGCTGGTTGGGTTTTGTTTTGGTTTCTTTTTTTCTGGTTTTATTTATGAATTCTTCAGTGAAAAAAATCCTGTATTTCTTTTGTTTTTAATATATTAAAATTTAGTAATTCTGGACTCTTCCAAAGTTCTGCTGCATGGCTTATGGCAACGCTCCCAGGTTGTGTTTCCCCATTAACCAGGTTGGTTTGTGTGCGTTGGGAGACTCTTGTTTAACTGCTGCATTTCCTTTCCCCCCTTTTAGTCAGTAACTTTCCTTAACCTCACTTTTTCATGTAGTGCCTGTCACCTTCAAGCTGCTTGTTTTAAGCTATTCTGACATCCATAGTGTCCTCCCTGGAGAGGGAGGTTTGTCCCAGGAGAACCTCCTGGAACAGGACAACAGCAGCACAGCTCTGTCAGCAAAGTGACTGCACAAACCTTCAGCAGCAGCTGTTTACCTCCTGTTTCTTTGCCCAGTAATGCTCCAGTTGAGAGCTGCAGCTTCCTGGTGCTTCAGCATATCCTGATTGTGATGATACTCTTCCCTTTCTGCTTCCCTGGATCCATCTTTGTGCGTTTTGCCGTTGTCACTGCAGGCACTTGTAACCTGGGATTGTTTAATCTCTGCTCCTGCTGAGCTCGTAGCACGTCCATCCTTGGTGCTGGCTGAGACCTGCAGCATTCCCTGAGCTGAGCCTCCTGCTGTCCCACTGGAATCCACTGCTGTCCCAGGGGATCCCCCTAGGATGCAGCTGCTTATGGAAAAACAAAGTACCAGAGCTCCTTTATTTTTCAAACAACTCTAAACCTAAACAGCAATGATTATGTTTTCCTCTTGGTTTTCATGGTCATGTCAGTGTTTCCCAAATGCCTCCCCTGTAACTGACCTGGTTTATCCTCCTGATGGTCATGGATCACTGCTAGCACTGACATGAGTAGTCACTCCCCTGGAGCAGGTGACATCTTTGTCGGGCATGTTTGAAGCTGGTAACTAGTTTAATTTAAAGCAAACAAAATACAGAGTTTTGTAACCACTTTTGGGGTTTCACCTTTTTTTTAGTCCCTTTCCAGCCCAAACCCTTTGCCCCATCGAAGGCCAAGTGTGCTGCACTCAGACCCAGTGGGGAAGGGGTGGAAACAGAACAGCCTTTTGCCTAGTGAGGTTCAAAGCCACCAGCACCTCTTGAGCATGGTTTTGACTTTGTTCTCAAGTGATTTCTTAATGCTTCAGCTCGAGTAAGTATAAAAGCTGTCTGAGGTGTAGTTGCCTTCAAAGCTTAGTGGAAACCAGTGCTCTCTTTCTGATCCCTTTTGGAGACTGCAGGTTATCCCACCACAACTGAGGTGGAAGGGATTTCTTCCCACTTGAACTCAAACATTCACAGGTAACAGTTTACAGCTTGTGGACAGATCACTTGAAAGCTGGAGAGGAGACAACTCAGCAAGTGCTTGCCCAGCAGTTTCAAACCTGCCTCTGTGGAGTTCCTACGGCGTTTCTCAAGCTGCAGCAGGACCACAAGGACAAATCCTCAGCTGCTGGTGCTCTGGGCTGTCAACTCTGCTGGTCTTGGAGCTGTCACCCTTCTGCCGTGGTGCCAGGAGCAGGTCCCAACTGCTGCTGCAGTGCCAGAGGTATTGGAAGCTGGAGGAGAACTCACCTGCTCCCCATGGTGCTGTCTCTGTGACAGAGGACACAGAGTGCCCAGACTGCCCTACCCTGGGGCACTCCCAGTGAGTCCAGGCCCCCCAGGGTGCAGGGAGAGCTCTTGCCTTTCAGAAATTATAGAAATTTTATCACTTTTTTTATTGAAAACTGCACTGAACGCTAAATGTCCACCTTTACATAAACAAATACAGAACGGTAACACACTAAAACAAAACATACTGATAGCCATTGGTTGCTTTTTTTTTTGTCTGTTTGGGACAGCTCAGGGGTTTTTTTTTGTCACAGAAACAGGAATGTACCCATACAAAGGCTCAAAACAGGCCATCTTCAAAAACAAAAAGGCGATGATTCACAAAAGACTATGAATATAACATGTAACTAGTTGATACAAATCTAATAGGATTTGTTAAAATCAGTCACAGCTAATAACACGTTTTTGAAGTGTTCTTGTATAAAATATCACGTGAAGAAAAGAAGACTTTTATCCATGTCTAAAAAAGTGGATTTTTTCTTTTGTTCATAGACAGTCTGACAAGTTACCATAAAAAGTGTTTCCTGAGACATAAGGAAATGCAACATTATTCTTGAACCCTTTCCAGCTCAAGACTTTTTTTTTTTTCCACTTGATAAAATAGCTGCAGATTTAAAACTGAGAAAATATATTTGAGTACAAATAGTGTGTGAAACTTAATACTTTCTTCTTTTTTCCTTTTTTTTGTCTTTTTTTTTTTTGTCTTTTTTTTCTTGCATCATTGCAGGGCGTAGGTGGATGCACAGCTACTTTATTCAGTGTCTTGGGCAGAGAAGAGACTGGCGGGTGGGTTTTGTGGCCGTTGCCAGGAGCTCTTTCTGCCCTCCCCATCCCACAGATCCCAGCTGGAATGGCTAGAACTTAAAACCTGGCAGGAGAACTCCTGTGACACGGTACTGGCCCTGTGAGACTGCAAAAAAAGGAGGAATATTAGTAGTAGTTGCTCTTTTTTTTCTTCCACTTCTAAGCCAGGACTGCTGCCTCCCCTTAGGAGAGGAACCCAGATGCAAGAGTAAGGAAAGGGCTGAAGCCACATAATGGTTTCCTCTAACGTGTTAACTGTCAGGATGCTGAATGCAATGGGCTGAGCACAGGGGCAGAGTGTCCTTCCCAAGGAATTCAGGGGGGGAAAAATACCTATTTTTATTCATGTGATTGATGCACAGATGAAGGAAACTCAACACACAACAACAGGAGTTGCTCATTAACGTATCACATCCTAGTTTTCAGCGCTTCAGTAAGCAGGTGACTTCTCCAGGGCTTCTCTCCCCAGTCTTGGCTGCTTTGTTGGGAACACTGGAACATCAATGATGCCTCTGTCCAAAATCAACATTACAAATTTTGTATCAAATTCTTTTTTTTTCTATTTTTAAGTTCATGTATAACTTCTTTTCCAATGTCTCTTGGTCCTAAGTTTATTGAACAGGTTTTTAAATTAGCTGCTATTGCTCGTTGGGATGTTCCCTGTTGTCCCCGTGTTTTGTGGGCTGGTTGGGAGATGGAGCTTGGGAAGGATGTGCCACTGTGGGAAGGTTGTGAGTGACAGGGATGCCTCCGGGGATGATGCCTTCCATAGCTGCTGGAATTCCTCCTGGTGTGACACTGACCATCCCAGGTGGATACCTGGGAGAGGGGATAGAGAGAGGCAGGTTTGTCAGGCACAGCTCACACAGCACCTGATCACCACTGTGGAGAAAACATGCAGCAGAGAGATTCCACTTCCCCTCCTAGAACCAAGGTTGGTTTTCCTTATAAATTACAAGGGATAGCTCATAGTTAAACATCTACCAATGCAGCTGTGTCTTGGGTAAGTCTTCCACTACCACACTGGGACTGTGCCTGGTTCTCTATCTTCTCACAGGCTGTGAGCCAGAGGGAAGCCTTTCTTTGGAAAACTGGGTAATGAATGGAGTCCTTCCTTACCTAGGGAAGGTAAGGAAGCATCCAGAATGTTTTCTGAAACACTGTCATGCTGACTCAATCCTCCCTGTGGGAAATACCTCTGAACACCAACACCTGCTGTGTAAGTTCTCCCTGTGTGGAAGGTGAGTTGCATCTTCCTCATGTAACCAGAGCACAGCTGAACCCTGGGGTTGAGTCTAGTCCACCTTTTCCAAGAGCAGGAGCAGTTGTATGAATTCCAAGGAACAACACTGAGCTTGAGAAAGAATGAGAACTCCTTGAGCTGCCCACAAGTAAGATGATGTGTGGGAGCAACCAGGCCAAACCCTCCAGAGCTCTGTGGATTTGTAGGGCCTGAGGGGTTCCACCACTCCACCTCCCTCCTGGGCAGGGTGAGGGGGAAGCTGGAGGAGAAGGAAGTTTGAGCTGCCCCCAGCTCACAGGGGCCCTGAGGAGCAGAGACAGGTGAGGAAGCCAAGTGTTGTCCTCAGGTACTGGCACTGCCCACGTGCTCTGGAGCAGGCAGGAGTGGCACCAAGGAGATTCTTTGGCCAGGTTTGGATGTTCTGCTGGTCAGAGTGAGTGCTCAGTGCCTGGGATCTGCATGGCACAGGAGCTGCCTGGGGCTCTCTGCAGGATTAACTCCTGCCTGTCTCTGCCTGCGACACGACCCCGTGTGCCCTGCAGGGTGTTTTTGTGTGGCAGAGTATTTTTGGCAGTGGTGATGTGCTGAAGGCTGCCCATGCTCCCCTTGTCCCCTGTGCCTAACATCTCCTACCAGCATGCCTAGAGCCCTCTGAAACAGAGCAGTAACTAACCCTTAATCTTGGATTTAGGTGGAAATTAGGTCACCTGACTATGGACTGGACCTATATTTGGAGCTTATGCCCAGGCTCATTAACCCACGAGCTGGGCGAGGCTCACAGCAGCTGGTGCATGGACAGGGGCAAAGAGAAAATCTGCAGTCCAGAAGTCACATCCAGGGACCTGGGCTGGTCCTGCTGCCTCCAGAGACGCTGCAGAGTCCTGTCCCGCCGGGAAGGGGAGGCTTTACACCCCGTGGTTGGATCCAGCAGCACCAGTAACCCCAGCGAAGGGAGTGCTGGGCCCCGGGGGGTGGATGGGGGTCACAGCAGCAGTTGTTTTCCGTGTTTCCACTCTCCCTGGGATCCCAATTTGCGGAGCTTCCAGCGGTCCCGGTGCTCCCGTTCTCCCTCTTACCTGTACGTGGCACCATTGAGCTCGGGATGAATCGCCTGCTGGTCTATTACTGACCACGGAGCCGTCGTGACAAAGAATTCCTTATTCACACAGTTCCTTAGGCTTTCTGGGATGCGCCCTGGAGTCGGCAATAAAGGTGAGTCTGTGTCAGGCACGTCCCAGATTTATCACCCTCTAATAAGCTGCAGTTATTGTCATTTCACCGTATTAGCATCCAGCATGTGAGAAAATCTAACTCCTCTATCCCTTGTTTCAGGGGGATGTTTTGGCTGTCCTGAGGTGCAGGGTTGAACACCAGTTTCCCATCCTGCTTTCAGGAAAGCTGTTCCCTTGAGCCCACTGCTTTGGAAGCAGGGGCAAGCCAGACATGAAGCTGTGCCTTCCACCTACCTTCACAAGGAGGGCGACTTTTAGGACTACCCATTTGCTGGAGTTTAGTGCCCCCACCTTGGAGTTACAGCAGGAGTTGGGCACAGGTGCTTTCCCTGCCTTGGGATTTGGTTTTGGCACGTGGTGGCTATGGCCTCTACTGCTGTTTGGGTTAGCACCAGTGACAGGAGCAGCAATTCCTGCTTCCCTGTCACAGAGATTAGTCTCGGCCATGCTGCACAAGTGCCCCATTCATTTAGTCAAACCCCCACAAAAAACACTCACCCAACCACGAACATCCCCAAATGCCAGAAAAGTAAACTTTGGTTTCTTAGCTCTTTTTCTGGGAAGACAATTGGATTCAGATCCCTTTCCCAGCCTCCTGCTGGGCCAGGGCAGGGTGAAGCCCTGTCTGCCCCTCCTGGCTCCCAGTCCAGGCAGCCACGGGAGCTGAGCCAGTGTCCCTCGGGGCTGAGTACCTGTGATCGCACGTCGGATCTCGGTAGCAGCAGCTTCTCTCATCTCTAGTGACGCCTGCTCGCTGTACCAGGCAGTGTGGGGGGTACAGATTAGGTTGGGAGCATCTTTCAATGGGCCTTGAGCAAAACTGGGGGCAGAGGGAAAGGAAACAGAGGTTAATCAATGTTTAAGGAGTGGATAAAAGGTCAGTGCAAGTATTGTGGCCTGCCCTGTGGACATGCTACACTCCTTCCAAGGCCAGGCTGGCTGGGCCTTGGAAGCAACCTGGGCTAGTGGAAAGTGTCCCTGCCCATGGCAGGGGGGTGGAACTGGATGATCCTTCAGGTCTCATGGTTCCCTGGAGGCAGCCTGACAGGGTCCTGCACTGTGGAGGACGCACAGCTCCCGTGCAGGGCTGACACTGAAAATGCACCAAGGAAGAGCCAACAGGGCTGAAAAACCAACCTATGGGGTGGTTGGTCTTCATGCTCCAACAGAATAAGTGCTTGGGGGTGTCTGCAGCAGGGTGGGGATACAGGGATGGAGGGAGTCACCCAGCCCAGGGTGGACAAGGAGGTTCTTCCTGTGTAGGACCAAACTTTCTGTTCTTAAGACCTTTCTGTGGTGAGAGAAGCTGCACTCCCTGTGACAACTAACCCCTTTCCCAGCCAGCAGCAGCCTGCAGGCAGAACTGCCCATCGCTGCATGCAGTAAATCTGTTCTCATGGACTAGTGAGTGCTGTTTTTTAAAAACACAGGCTGGTTTCCCCCTAAGCTCCCAACGTGAGCACTGGTGCCGGACTACACCCAACCCATGATGCACAGTGACAACAGCAGGCCTCTCCCCAGTGCTGTGTGACAAGGCAGGTGGTGCTGGGTGCCCCCAGCCATGCTGTGGTGGATGGTGACCCAACCCCAGACCTGTCCCCCTGAGCCAGAGCTTTACCTAAAGGGTTCGGACTCGTGCACGTCGAGCGCAGCCCCTCGTATCCGTCCCTCCTTCAGGGCTTGAGTTAAGGCCTTCTCGTCCACCAGCCCCCCACGTGCTGTGTTCACCAGGAACGCTCCCTGCCTCATCTGCCAGCAGCCAGGAGAGAGACCACGGTGAGCTGGGTGCAGTGAGCCCACCAATTGGTGCAGTAACCCCCCCCAACCCCCCCCGTCCAGCCATGCTCGTGCTGAGGGACTGTGCTCCACCCCACAGCAATCCCATCCTGGTGCATGCAGGTTTTCCAGGGAAAATCCATCTCTGGCTGCTACTGACAAACAAAACCCACCATTGCCATCACCTCCACACCACAGGGGTAAGGCTTGCTTGCCTGGCTGCACAACACCCCCAGTAAACACCATGGGGAGGCACAAAAGAGGAGAAATTTAGATTGGATATTAGGCAGAAGTTTTTCCTGTGAGGGTGGTGAGACACTGGCCCAGGTTGCCCAGGGAGGCTGTGGCTGCCCCAACCCTGGCAGTGGTCACAGCCAGGTTGTGGGAGGGGTCCCTGTCCAGGGCAGGGGTTGGGACTGGATGATCTTTAAAGTCCATTCCAACCCCTTAACCTACTCTGAAGATGAGGCTGCTGGGTGCAACCTGCTATTCTGGAGGTCACCCACAAGCACTAAGGCACTGGTGGCTGTGACTGCAGAGGGACCCATGGCCAGCACTGATGGCTGGGCCTTGCCCCCCCAGGAGCAGAGCACTCCCTGGTCACCCACACACAGTGCATTACCTGCTTAATCGTGAAGTCATTGATAAGGTGGTGGTTGTGTTCGTTAAGGTTACAGTGCAGCGAGACACAGTCACTCTGATAGAGCAGGTCCTGGAGGGTGTAGACCCGCTGGACCCCCAGGGACCTCTCGATTCCATCCTGCAGGTATGGGTCATAGAATATGACGTTGAAGCCGAAGGCTTTGGCTCGGACCGCGACCGCCTGTGCAGTGCGACCTGTGGGCAAAGGAAATACAAGAAGTAGTTTAGCTGATGCCCAACTTCCCTGTCTCCCTGAGGCTGAGCCCCCAGCAGGGTTTAGGGACTGCTGTGGGGTTCTCTTGGGACCTCCTGGACTCCCCAGAGGGATCCTGGCTGGAGGACAAACCCTCGCCCTTTGCACCAAGAAGGGCTGTGCTTGGCTCTAGCAAATGTGAGATGGTTGGGTTAAAACTGTTTTAAGAAACCGAACAATATGAAGAGTGAGGCCATCAGGCCTCTGCCAACTTGTGGCCATTCCAGCATGGAGCACCATCCATGGACATGCAGGGCTGGTGGGGAAACCCAACATGCAGTGCTGGATATCGCTGAGAACAGTGCTCTGCTGGGCTGTGCCTACCAAGAAAAGCTGGAAAAGGAAAGGAAGAAAGCACCACCTTTTTTAGGCAACCTGTTTGTGGCAGGGCTGTCAGCCTCTTGCCAAAGGACTGGTTAACTGGGCATGGACATGACAACTGTTGTGGCCTGGAAGTGAAGGGCTGCTATGGCTGCTGTGCTGGGGAGGGATGTCTGCAGCACTGCTGGAGACCTCCCTGCCTGTCCCCACCACAGGCTCCGTGTGCCTGGTGTGCCAGGGCTACGTTAGTCCTTCATCTGTTCATTTTTACAGCTAGCAGCACTTGCCTGGTCACTGTCCCTGCCCTGCATGCACACACCTGGTGCCATCCCAGTGCCCCAGAGACACAGCACTGACCATGGGACATCACCTGGGGGTCTGCATGGACATCCACACACAGAAAGGCACACCTGGGCTGACCTGGATCTCCTGCTCTAACCTCACCCACCTGCCTTGACTCAGTTTCCCCATTTCAACACACTCATATGAGCTTTCTGCACTAATTAACTGGTGCTACCTCTGGTGCTGAAACTCTCTAGAGCTGTGGGTGAACCTGAGCTCTGTCTGACACAGACCTGCCACTGCACAGGGTGGAGTGACTCAGGGAGGGCCTGAAGGAAGAGAAGCTCAGGGAGATGTGTAGCTGTGGCTCAGGGATGGAGCTTCTGGGGGGAGGACAGCAGCACTACCAGGCGTGATCCCTCTTGGAGCATCACCAGTGCTCCTGGAGGACTCACCCACAGCTCACAAACTGCAGTGAGACATGAGTGTGAGAAGTTCCCCCTGTGGTATGTGGAGAGCAGGGCAGTGGTG